TACTCCCCAAATAATAATAATTACATACATACAAGTGCTCGTGTTATGGTAGTCATACTAGGACGCAGTTCTTACATACTATTCATCCAACTCAGTGTTTGTTCTGCGTCTACCGGGGTGATCATGGTATCCTCTCCTCAGTCAGGTGATGTTATGCTGATGGTCGGGAGCCATATATGTTTCTCTTGCCACTAAGCTGAGCATTCACGTCACACGAACAGTAGATTAACACCTATTCCGTAAGTGTTAATTGGATTTAATCCTCAGATATCGTATGACCATGTAGGGCGTTTGTTCCGAAAGGCAAAAAAATGTTTCTTTAATTAATATTTCCACCGTTATGTTAGACGTTATTACAATGATAAATAGTAAAGTATAATAATAACTTATTCCGTATGTCTACAAATATACATGCACACTTATTTAGGTAAATTTTATTTATTTTAGTTTAAATATCTTGTATAGGAAATTGAAAGCTCTTTGAGGTTATTTAACAAAAATTTTTTTTTAAATGTCACTTACAGACCCACTCATGCTTGCATCCACTGTAATTTTTATGTTCAATTAAACACATTTTTCATTATCCTTACATATTTTAATCCTTAATATTGTAAAACGTAAAACTCATAAAATAAAAAAAACTCAAAAAGAGAGAACAAAGAACTCTATAAAATTTTTATTTTTATTCCATTGTGATATGTATCCTGATGCAAAAATAATAAATGAAGGTTTATCAAAATCAGTAATCCTAAAAAAGTCAATTATTAAAGTGTAAGCTTAGTCCAGCCATACTTGCATTGATTTGTATACATTCTTATCTTAGACTGTTGGTATCATATTCCTCGATTTATCAAGTTCATAAACGTAAGTTATCATAAAACTAAGAGAAAAAGCAAAAAGTTTTTTTTTACCAAATTCACAATTTGATTTTTCGTCCATACCAAAGCTTCCTCTATTGAAAAGCAAAATTAGTTTCTTAAAAAGGTCTATAACATATAAAGTTGGAACAAATACAAATAAGCATGGAACAAAAATATAAATGAAAAATTACACAAAATCATTGTAAAAAAACATATTTACAACAGACATTAGTAGTAATTACGACTTAGAGTGATGTGATCAAGAGAGTAAAACTTTTAGAAATCAAAATATGTATTGTAAAAAATATGTACAAGATATGCTTAAAAATGACACACATGCATTATAACCAACATTATGACTTAGGATAAAATATTAAATAAAATAGTTTATCACGTATTGTGTCATTATTTCAATAGCAAACAGAGGATACCGCACACTCAGAAAGAAAATAGTTCCTAACTTTTTATTTTCAAAGTATAATTTTATTTATTAGTCTTGTTTCATTATGTACATATAGACTTTATATATAATTATCAGGTATAATGATAAACTTAGTCCATGAAACAGAAGCAGAAAATTTTCTTGCTAAGCACGTCAGTTTTATTTTTCTCAACGATCCAGTATACTTGGTAGAGCAAAGAGGAAAGTAGAAAAAAGTATAAATTAAAACAATTGTCTTTTTTATTAATAGTGGACAGGCTTTTTTACATGGCTATCAAAAAGATCTAAATTATTTATAGCAACCTAACTGAACGTACTAAGTGAGTCAGACAAAAAAATAAAAATACTTGTTAAAAGTATTATATTACAGATAAAAATAAGATATCATAGGAACTTGAAATTCAAAATTTATGTAGCTATGTTTCCTCCAAATTCTAACTGAGATCTAAAACATGTATAAGCGTAGAACTGAAAATGAATTCAAGCTAAAATAAAACTATAATAAAAAAATTTTCAGCTACAGATCTAGTAATAATACATTGTAACACAGAGATTTTATAATGCTTCCAAAAAACTTTTAAAAATTCATCAAAAAAATAAGAGTTGATACTTAATTATAAAATTTGGAAATTAAGTTTGTTAAGATTAAAAAATTTAAGTCAAACTATGATCAGTGCTCACAGGGATTGGGTAAAAGTTTTCGTACACAAAATATCGTCTACATGGTAATGAATAACAATTACAAAGTATTTTAATAACCTTTTATCGTGCTTAGTATTTAGGCCTAAATAATCAGAGTTTCGTTTACAGACAATATTTAATTTTGATAGGATAAACTCAAAACCTACGTTTATTTTGGCACAAATATTGTGTACATGAAAATCATTATAAAATATTTTTTTTTTTTAATAAGGTTGTGCAAGACATTCTGTGTCAAAAAATTAGCACACAACGACAATGTGCACAATCCTTGGGTGCATTGGATATATTGTGTCAAATGTAATTGCAAGAATACTGTAGAATATTAAGTACTGCTTTAATTAAATACCTCAATTAATTGATGTGCAAAAATGTAAATAAATATAGATACAAAAGTAATATACATACTTGAAGTTCTTGCCAGTTTTTCAGACATATTGGAGAGCGCTGCGCTTCATATGTTTTGTTCATTTTGCTACCTCCTAATAATTAAGCTTCTACATTAATCATTCTTATATACTATATGACATATTAATCATTTTTATATTCTTGTACTAAAAATAGCAACAACAAAAATTAAAGTCATAGATGAACGCTTATTGCAGATTGTAGAATATAGTTATATATAATAAATTACCATATTCCAAATACTCACAGTCATTGTTAGTTCTTATTCTATAAGATTGTAACCTGTAACTATCTCAACTGATATTTTAACTACCTGAAGTACAGAATTGTATTTCAGTTACGTAGTTACTTCAGTTGTGTAGACACAAAAATCTGTTTACTATTGCAGAAAATATATTAGATAAACGTCATGGTTTTTAGAATCTTATTGCCACCATTTGTGAAGGTTAAGGATTTAACAATTGAAAAAAAAAACAAAACATTAATGGGAACTTTGTATTAACCTCAATAAAATAAGCTGCATACGTTGAATGATCCAAATAAGCTCAACTTGTTTAACATAAAACTTGACAACAAACTGAAATAAAAAGCTTTATCTCGTGTTCGTGATCTAGTCATAACGTAGAATAGATTTAAAAATGGATGAAAAAAAGGAAATAAGAGATAATGATGATGAAAACAAATTTATTAATGCCAAGGTTTAATAAACCGTATGGCAATGTAAAAAAAAATATAAAGGATTTCCAAATATATTATATAAAACAAGCATAAATATACAATATAACAAATTTTTGGCATAAGTAACAGACTATTAGATTAATTAATGAGACGCATTTCCATAACAATTAATATAAAATTATCTGTTAATATAAAATACATAAATTAAAATTATTGTGCGTCCAGTAAGTATAGCCGCGAGTTCGTATATGTATATGTAAGTATATATGCTTCAAAATCTATCTCAACATTTATAATGAACTCTCAAAATCAATCATTAAACAAATGTTCGAAAAGCGCAACTTTGAAAGATTCGTAAGTGACCTTCAATTTCACAGACCCAGGAATCTCCTCCCATAATTTTAGACCACTTATGACAAAAGAACGCTCATACGTGACTGTGCGTGCGAAAGGTATAAAATAGCCAGACGTAACACGCCTAGCAGATCTCCTCAGGCCCTCGGTCTGCGGAAATAGGTCCACCAAGTATTTCGGCTTCCCTGAGGTAAGCAACCGATAAATCATACAATCCAGAAGGTATTTCCTCCGGGCCCCAACAGTCAGCCAACGGTCGAGCTGCCGGTAAAAAGGTCTCATTTCAGCGTCGCGGCCTACCCCAAAAATGAATCTTACAACTGTATTAAACAAACGGTGTATCTTGAGCTGGAGATACTGCGAAAGGTCCAAGTAGGCCAGAGACACGTAATCGAAGTGGGGGAGCACAAGTGCAGCCACAAGCATTTTCTTCATTGACCACGACAACGAACTCGCCCTAAACCGGAGCCTATGCAATACACCGTGGACAGCCGAACAAACCCGAGAAACCGGGGCGTTCCAGGTAAGATCGTTGGTGATAATAAGACCTAAATTTTTAACCGACATAACGAAAGGCACCACTGTATCGTGAACAACTATTGGGTATATCTGAATAATCAATCGTCCTCAGTAACTGAGGCGTTGCCAACAATTGTGCTGTAATCTTAGAAAAATTAAACGACAGTCCATGATTATTGGTCCAACAATCGACAGCACTTATGTTAATATTAAACTTCCTAATAGTATCCGGTATATATCCAGGCAGGCACTGGATGTACAACTGGAGGTCGTCTGCAAAGAGCATAGCTTTACTATGTTTAAGATACGATATGACAAAGTTAATGTAGACGAGAAACAGCACCGGGCCAGGCGACGATCCCTGAGGGATTCCTGAGGTAACGCTACGATGCTCGGCCATACCTCCACTACCATTTGTCACCGATAGAGAGCGTCCTGATATAAAAGAGTGTACAAAACGAATTGAGTCAGTAGTAAAATTTAGCTGTTTGAGCGCTGACAAGAGTCTACGGTGATCCAAAGTATCGAGGGCTTTTCTAAAAACGAAGTGAACAGAGAAAGTTTTCATTCCCCTATCCATACCCCATCGAATGTCGTCAGTCACCCGCAGCAGAGCTGTCTGGGTACTAAACCCTCGCCGAAAACCCGATTGAAAAGGTGATAGGAGCGAGGCGCCTTCCAAATAATCATAAATTTGCTCAGCAATCAAGTAGTCCAGCACCCTACCGAAATGAGGCAGATTGGCCACCGGACGAGTTTCCGAGGGGCCAGAGGGGTTTTTAACCTTCGATAACGGCACGATACTTGAAACTTTCCACAGATTCGGGTATGTACAGGTGGCCAATGAGGCATTAAATATAAGAGACATAGAGAGAGAAAGAGAGAGAGAGATTGCAAAATTATGAAAAAGTTAGTCATAATGATTTTATACAAATAAAGTACAATTACTGTGGATCTGTTAATTATAATTGTAAATAGATACTTAATTTGCTGTATTAGAAACTGTGTTCTGTTATTTATGACTTTTTCATTTTTTTTAGATAAGCCAATACTCAGTGAACGTGACATCGTGGGATTAATCATTATCACAGTAGTTTGCTGCGCCGTAGGAACGTCAATAGTTTGGGTAGTGGTTATATATCAGACACGAAAAAGACTTAACGTCGCTCAAATATCTGGTCAACCAACACCAGCACTAGTAGCTAGCCTAGAGCAACAGGTTGAAACGCATCTTTACTTTGATACGAGCTCTCAACACAGCAAAGACAGTGGCACTGGTGTGAGTACAAATCCAAACAACAAGCAGCTTCAGTTTTGTTCACCGGGTTCGTACTGTTGTTAATTGTATACTTCTAAAAACTATCAAAACATATAAAATAACAGCAAATTTATTTTATTAGCAGCCTACTGTTTAAAATCATACACACATTTTTTCGCTGGTGCTTTTTTCTCTTAAAAACTGATGTATTATTATGACGTTCATTTTGTAACCATATTTTTTTTAATTGGAGGATGAATTTAAAGAAAAAAAGACTACAATTTTTTTATATTTATCTTTTCGTTAGAAGAAAAAAAATTGAATACACACTCTACATATTTCTTTTACTTATAAGCATACATCATTTAAGTTTAGCTTATCATAATCAGGTATCCATTAACATACAAATAATTTGAATATAATTTTTTAAAAATACTTGAACTAACTTGAAAGATGCTGTATTTGTTAGCAGGGAATTTAAAATCACACGTTTTGAACATGCTAGCTCCTGAAATGTGCAGTTTAACTATTTTCCACTTGTGCACTTTATTACCTTTAGAATGCTCTGTTAACGTGACACTATTTTAAAACGTAGATGTATATGCGTGTTTATATATATTTTTCTGCAATATGTAGTCACTTTAGTTAGGCAGGCCATAAGCCCATGCAGCCCCCAATTATATATCAATACCCTGCAGTATTGATCCCATCTAAAAATATATGAGTATGTTCCGCCATGTTGATCAAGTTTATACTTCTGAATACATCTATAGCCACACTTTTGATCATCATGGATAGAACAATGCATAAATATTTTTATTATTTGGTTCAGTCAATGAAAATAACTATGCTACGGCTTTCCAAAAATTTAGGGAAAATTTGTTTTCTTTTTCTATTAATTCAACAAGAAAATTCAAGCTGTACCCATCCACAGCTCCCTTCCCTATTGGTTATTTCTTTTATCTTTTAAAATGTCTGTTTGCCAACTATGACATTAATTTTTATTTCATACCACCCATTTAGTAAATCGATTGATCTTTTATTCATAAGTGATAAAAATCATTTATTTATTATCATCTTTTATCAGTTAACTTTAAAACTAACTTTGTTGAATTTCGTCAGCATAAAGCTTAGGTGCATTATCTTTTTTTCAATGTGATGTTAAAATTTATTAGAGCTTGTGGTGCACCTAATTTGAACTAAATATTTCTAAGTAGCACTCTCGATACAAAAATAGAGTGGTGCCATTGTTAAAATTATACGACTTAACTCCTAACTCCTGCTTTTTTCTAATCACTTTAAAATAGTGTTTTACGTAATTCATACGAAACATGATGATGAGCTCCCTCTGCATAGTTCATTATTAGGAAATAAGTTGTGAAAATTCGATTTTTTCTCAGATTTTATTATATATATGGAAAACTGTAAATCAAATTTAAAAATATTAAATATCAAAGTTTTGGCCCCTTTAATTATCTACCATACAAAAAAAAAGTTGCGTAAAAGCAACTAGTTACGTTGCAAGTTGCTAAAATCCAAGAAAAGATAACATTATTACCGTTGTTAAATAACAACTTTTCCTATCGGGAAGTACTCAAAGGGTCATGGGTTCAAATAACGTCGAAAATTATCGAAATTTTTTTCTTGTTTTTTTTTTCGATGGAATGAGAAACCAGGATACCGAAAAACACCTTATCCAATTCATGGAACAAATAGTAGATTTTTCTGGTAATGTCCGGACCTCGAAGGGCTTCGTTTTTAGAAAAAAGTCAACACCTGGCCAGCACATCAGGTAAAGTCACTGTTGGTTATGAAAACGTCAGTACAGTGAGTTAGATAATGTATTGGAAAATAATGTTCCATTAAACTTGACAATAGCTGGAATGTGTTTTATACAATCGCTGCACCTTATGAATAGTACCGATTAGACGTTATGTAGAGTAACTTTAGACGAACAAGAGTGCATTTGAAAAATGTCTCACTGTGGTGTTTAAATAGCTAAAATTTTGTGTGGATGTTAAAAGCTGCAATACTTATCTTCAGACTAAATTTCAGCTCTTAATATTATACAGAACGCGACTAATTGAATTTCGAAAAAAAGGCTAAAAAATGGTTTTTGGAAATTGGCGCATAACATATCGTTAGGATTTAACAAAACTCATTTTGTTCATCTTTTAATTTCAATTTTTTGGTATCATCAAATACCGATTAGTTATGAACTTTTTTTGCCGACAGACGCGTAGATCTTCGGTAAATCGCAAAAAAAACAATTTTTACAGATTTTGACATTTTTTTTTTTGACAGCCTCGCTGTAACTCACAAGTTGAACAAAATTAATATGTTAATACTTACGCAAAGATCTATAAAAAAAACTTTTTCAACTGTTAGTATCAGTTTTTGGGACGCAAAAGCTAAATCTGATCGACTACCAGTAGGATGGATAATCGTGTCGTCTGAGAGGAACTTGGAAGAGGCCTGCACGAAAGACTCGCACATCATACAGTCAGGATAAAAAGTTGAAAGCAGAAAAGGTCTCTGGTGTAGTAAAAGCCGAAAAGAGTCCTAGAAATAATATATTATATCATACCAAATAATCATCGTTGCAACTGCAATGAATACGATACTCCAAGTCGGAATTGAATAAATTTTTTTAACTATGGTACATTGGCGTTCTTTACTGCACGTACTTGGATAATCATATATTTTTATTTTTAGTGTTAAAAGTAGCAATTTTTCACTGTAACTCACTATTTTGCACTAAAAAAGTTTTTTAAGTTAATTAGCTATGAAATAACTCATTGATTCGGCAAAACTGTTTTGAACTTTATTGCGTTGCTGGAGTTTTTCTCTAAATTAAAAAAAAAAAAAAAACATTGGTGTGCGACCAATAAAAGTGGTATAGTTTTTATATAGTTATATATAGTTTTAAGTATAGTTTACCTTTCGAAAAATTACTTACACTTCGTTTATACATATTGAGATGCTAAATTACGGTATAGTACATCCTAATATGTATACTTTTAAAGGACCTTTCATTTTACTGAGTGCAACTTGCCATTCTATTTTCTGCAATGAAGCGAAGTACCTAGTTTTTTTGTACCTCCTGTAAATGTACCGTAGTCGGAAGGTGGGGGAATGCGGTCTCGGTGGTGGTGGCTTGAACGCTAGCCTGAGTCATCCAGCGAGCTTTTTGTGTGCGTCTCTTTATATCTGAGACAGAGAATAGTTTTTTAATATTTCGTTTCCTATTGCTATTAGATTCTTTTTTTTTGTAATTTTGGATATCTCATCAGTTTTACAATGATGTAAAGTATTTGTCTGGATCCAAGAAATTTTATTATTCATCTTCTTCATTAATTTAATTATTTTATTGATAAATTCATAATGGCTATAACTAATAACTTGCTCCACTACGTAATAAAAATTTTTCAAAACGTATGAATAAATATTGTTATCAAATTTATGCATGCAGTTATGATAAAATTTAATAAAATAGTTAAATCAATGAAAAAGACAAAAACTATGATTCTTAGGACTCTCTGGCCAAAAAAACTTACGACCATTATTCTTTAATCGAGAAGCTAAGTTAAAAAAAAGGAAAAAAATTACCACGCAATAAAAAAATTGCTAGTTATAGTTATTACAAGCTTATCAATAAAGTATTCAAATTAGTAAATAAAACAAATAATAATATTCTTCGGACCTGGAAAAATACTTACCATCATCGTAAAATCGACGAGCTACCCAAAACTAAAAAGTAAGAAGACTCTTAGACAAATAGATAATGAGATGTTAAAAAATAATTCACTGTCCTAAATATGAACAGTTAATGACGCTAATGTACCATCGTTTAAATAATTTTAACAACATATTAAATTAACTCAAACGTTTTGGTTGTGAATTGAATCATTTAGTCCCTATTGGTCAGATCATTTTTATTTTTAGATTGCTACTTCTCCGTTAATTATGTTATCGTATCCGTCCTATTGCAATTGCAAAAACTGTTATTTAATATCAGCGATAATGTCGGATTTTTTTCTTTTTTTCGCGATTTGAAGCTTAACTGTTATCATACCGCACTTTTTTCAAATATTAGATGACTAAAAAGGTTATAACTTGAACATTTCACATTTTTCACTACAACTTGAAGTTTTCCAAAGACTTACTAAAAACTGAAGAAAATCGGATTCTTATGACTGATTTGTTAATAATGAACTATGCAGTGAGATTTGATTATTACTTTTTTTATATGTTATGTAAAACACGATTTTTAAGTAATTAAAAAAAAAAAAACCAAGAGATAGGAGTTCAAACGAGAAATTGGCCTCTCGACGTCTTATTCTACTAGCCCATAAGTAGCCATAAGCCATAATTTTTCTGACAACTGAAATTATAATAAATTTCTTGACGGCTTTCATGATACTACGTGTTTGACTGCCGATTTTTCTAATTTTTACTTTTTATAAAAATAAGATGAATACCTTTAATAATTTCTTATCAGTAATAAATTTGTTATTTATTATCAACATCCTTTCTAAATGATACAGACTTTCGTAACTTTAGTACTTAACTCTACTTGGCCCGCTCAACTTGAATTAATTGAAATTACGAGCCAAAAGCTTATTTGGTTATATAAATTATTAATATAATTTGTATGGTAATGAAATTCGTTATAAATATTGTGGGTGTAAATGTGTTTTTTGAATTTGCCAAAAAACTCATAAAAAAACTGTTGACGAGTACGCAACTCGAAACAACCTGTTTCATTTAGTATCTAATCTGTAGCTTACGTATGTAGAGGCTAAGTAAATAAATAAATTAAAGTGTCTAGTACAGTGTTAAATTATTTTTAAAAAAATTAACGAACAAATTTCATTGAAAAAAAAATCTTGAGAAAAATTACATAACACGTGAATAATGAAATCTGGTGCAAAAAAACTATGAACAACTAAAATAAAAAATTTAATTGAACAACAAAGTAAAACAAAACTACGTTATAAAATCGGTAGTTACATTATACAATAGTTACAAAAGGCAAGAAAATGTTTGTCTATTGCCGTAAATTTA